CGCGGTGAATACACAGGTAAGTTTAAAGCGTTTTAAAAAAAACGTTTTGCATATATCTACTGCTTGCTAGCAGTAGATATATGCAAAAAAACATGAGCGTTTAGAAACCCTTTAACTACTATGTAACTATGTAATATGGTGAATGAACTAGAGAGGGTGTGCAAGTATCTTTTTTAATGTGCTTTGTAGTCATACATATTTGATATTGAAATTATTTTTCCAAAAACATCAAATAACCAGTTGTGTGCAATTTCCTACATTCAGCTGGAGAGTCTTATTTAACCCCATCGTGACCAGTGACGTACATAGTACATCACTGGCAGTGGGCCGTTTAAACAGACTCTGCCAGGACATCTGTAAAGCCGACTGTGGGCTTTACAATAGAAGTGATTCTGACAACTCAGCTGTTGCCAGATCGCTTCCACGGGCCGGTAAGCTCGGTCCCTCCTGCGGGCCCGGGACCAGCATCTCTGGTGTGGTGGGAACCTGGTGAGGAGCGGGCGAACATCCATTCATCGATCTCCTCCCCGCACTATGGGACCAGTAACGACGCGTATTGCATTACTTCGGGTCCCATATCTGTCAGTGCTGGGCTCCTGAAGCCCAGCATTAAGCTATTGAAGTGTGATCTGCACTTCAATAGCTTATTTAGAGTGTAAAGATGACACTGGGGGTCTTTGGAACCTCAGTATCACCTTAAAGAGGTCCTGCCATTGCCAATATGTTATTACATGGGAGGCATGCAGCCCTCTATGTCAGCGTTTTTCAACCACTGTGCCGCGGCTGCGTATTAGTATGGACATCCGCACCCGTGCAAATGTGCAGTTCAGTTGAGCGTACGGCTGCATCCTCCCATAGAGAAGAACAGGCTGCTGCCTACAAATCACACGCAGCAGCCTGTCCTTCCCGGGAACGGCCCGATACGTCTCCCCCCCGCGAGCATGCGCGTCATAACGTAAACACGCGTCGGGTGCACCTACATACATAAACGATGATCGCGCTACACATGTTGGGTATTGCCGTGCACGTCTATGGACTTTTTGGGGTACTGAATTTTGTTGCCAATTCACAGATGCACATAATTTGTAACCTGGACATGTTGGGTGTCTATTTACTCGTTGTTTTTCACTAAATTGTGGGGTTTGATAATAAGTTGCGTGAATATCTTGCAAAATAAAAAATTGGAAACTGCAGCCATTTTATTCTACAGGGAATAAATAATGTTTGGGGGTTTTAAGTCATTTTCAGACCTAAAATGTGAATTATAACATGTGTGCAAAAGATGAAAAAAAAAAAAAAAGGCCTCGGTCATTATGGGGTTAAAGTGACATAGCTAAAAAATGCATTCAAATAGCCTTACTATTACCAAAAAAATTACCTTATTTGTTTATCACTCAGCTGTAGATCCCTGTGTGTGTTGCATAGTAGCCACCACTTCAAACTCAGTCCCATTATGGACTACAATCCATGGTTTAGTTTACTAATTTGTATTGAGATTATAGTCCATCACAAGAGAAAGCTGCGGTGGCTACTTTGCAACACATTCAGGTAATATGGAGAACAAAAGTAACCACCCTCCAGAAGGAAGTGTCAGCAACAATTCGGAGATGATTTGAGGATCTACAGCCGAGTGATACACAAAAAAATATAACTTTTTGTTAATAGTTAGGGTGCTTGAATGCATTTTAAAGGTTTAACTCCTGAGTTTAGTGTCACTTTAAAGGTTAATAGAAGTAACAGTATTTACTGTAGTGCTTTTGTAACTGTGATATGTTTTTGTGGCTTTTTTGAACTGTGCTCTGTTTAGTTGAGTAGGCTGAACTACATATAATGAGACTAGTAAACCTTTAGACAAGACCGGAAACACCACAGTGCTGGAAAATGGTAACAAAAAGCTTTACATGAACCGCTGACACCGAGAAGGGATGTGAATGCTGGGACCTGCCTTATATCATGTGTCTTAGCAAAAAACAAAACAAACAAACCTCAAGGGTAGCACTTTTTTTTTAAATATAACACTTGTAGGCAGTTGGTTTCACTGACACCTGCTATTTAATTCAATTGTTTGATACTGCATATTTAATTTTCCTTATAGCTTGTACACTTGTTTTCAATGATGTTATGATACTGATTAAATTACAATAACATTTATTATACACTAAAATGGTATTATGCAAACCTGCAAGAAACATGGAGTGCTCATATTATGAGTAACACGTAAGCAGAGGTATCCTTAAAGTGCAACTGATGCCAAAACTTTGTTTTCTAATTTTAGAGTGGAGAGGAATTTGAACACCTGTCAGGTTTTTATTCATGTCTGTCTCCCCATTAGGGAACCCTCTCGATTTATCCTGGTGATAGTTATATCTGAAAGTGAAAGTAGATTCCAAATTTTGGGCTGTCATTAGGTGCAGATGAGGATTTTTCCAATGGGGACACTTCTTTTGGTGATCCTGCGGACCACCGGGGATTTCCCTCTCTTCAGACAGGAAGTGAAAGGAAATATACCAAATGAGACACAGAGGGCAAAAAAAGCTGACTGTGGTTATAACCCTCCCTTATTCTATCCAAAACTAAGAAAAAATGTTTTGGCTTCAGTTCTACTTTAAGAGAAATCATGACTCAAAAATATTTGTAAATCCAGAGATATGGCAGCTAAAGTTATATGCCTACGAAATCTTTTTGGCAATCCTATTGGTGTGATGGGCAACCGTACAGACCAATAGACATGCTGGGGCAGTGGGTGATCTAACACAGTTTTCACTGAAAGTCAACTCTACTAATTAATATTTACATTATATGCTAAGCCTGAAATGTCCTTCAGCCACAGGTTCATTTTCAGCTTTTGTAACTGAAAAATATTTCCAAATACTGTGGTACTCCTCAGTTCCTTCAATGGCAGATAAAATTAACCGTCTCTGGGGTCTATTCACGAAGCTGCCGAAGGATCTAGCCGTAGCTTCGGCCGATCCTTCGGCTAGCTTCGGCCCCAGGACCCCTTCAGTAGAACCGAAAGGCTGCTGTACGGGCTATTCACTATAGCCCGTACAGCTCCCGAATGTGGCCGAGCGGTTCAGTCGAGCCGAACGCATATGCCTCGGCTCGGCTGAGCCGCGCTGAAAGCTATTAAAATGGGGGTACAATGCTAGTTTACTATTGGCTATTGCAAATTGAAATAGCCATTTGGAATCTAGCAATGCATTCCAATGGGCAAAAAAAAAGCAGTGTTTTTTTTTCCTGGGTGGCCGGGAGAGGGAGGCTCCCAGAGCGCCTGGGAGAGTTTTTGCTTTTTTCTTTGACGGCAGCAGAACCGCCGGACAATAGAAAACTGTTGGGCGGAGCTAGCTGTCATTGCTAGCTTCGCACAATCATTTTCTATTAATTTTTTAAAACTTTTTTAAAACTATTTTTCTGTTCTGCTCGGTCCCTCTGAGAGACCGAGCAGGACAGCCGAGCCGAATGCCGCTCAGCGGCCTTCGGCTATTCACTCACTGCTGTTCAGCATCTATAAGAATAGGCCGAACAGCAGTGAGTAGCCTGCCGGAGGTTCGGCTCAGCCGATCCAGATGTTGGATCGGCTGAGTCGAACTCCTTCTAGCATTGTTAATTCTGCTGAGCATGTTCACATTAAACGTGTGTGTTGGTGTATGTGAAACCACATTTTACTGTATGCACCTAGATATAAAGAGGCCCTTGGCTGTAAGAAGTGAAATTGATAAACCACCCTCTTTCCCCAGTTGGTGGCACAGTATACAGTTTTTGGCAGAAGAAACAGGCAATGGCAAAGGGATAATAGCTGTGGGATGCTACTTGCAGATTTAGGTGGCTTTGTCTGTTTCTGGGTAACTGGATGTGCAGTGTGGAGCAAACTGTCTGTGACCATTCTTGTACTGTCTAAATACATGGGGCAGTAGAATATTTAAAGCAAATCTCTGGGGAAAATATTCCTAACGGGGGTCGGCCCACTGCAAGGGTTAAGTGCTCATTTGTGTCGAGGTTAAAAAAAAAAAGCTGCACTCACCCAAATCTCAGATGCGGCTGGCTGAGACAGCACTCCCTTCTGCCTGTCTCCTTCTTCTCTGCAGCAATGGTATATTCCTCAGAGACCTAACATGCTATAAACAGTGTATAGAACGTGATAACATTCCAATCCTTGGACTGCTGCAGCGGAGGGGAAGAGAGGTGGAAGGGACCGGTCAAAGAACAAGCTGGTTCCAAAGATCAGGTGAGTATAACTTTTTTCTTTTTAACCTAGACACAAACGAGCACTTAACTGTTGCAGTGTGGGGGCAGCCACACTGCAAGGGATAAGATTTTTTCCCCCTGGAATTCTTTAATATTCTTATCTAAGTTAATGTTATTATGTTCTTTTCTAAAAATCACACATTGTTAACATTCATATTTATTATAGGATACGGAGTAAAGATGACACCTAGTTAATGGTTGATTTACTTGAAATATTTCTGGTGAAGAACGACTCACATAAACAGTTTGGACCTCCAGATTTTATGTCATTTTTAAGTTAAGTTGGCCATACACCAGTAGAATTTCATTATATTTTTCAAAAACTTTATTTTCCATTTTCTTTGAATTTCATTCAATTTTCTAACATTTAGTATGGTCTGGTTGATGTTCATTTTCTACCACAGTGATGAAGAAAATTGAAGGAACAGGATGGGATTTTTTCTTGTTTCTTATCATAATGAACAATTTATAACTGTTAATGTGACTTTTGTTTGTGAAAAATTGTACAAATTGTGATGCATGTGTGTTAGGTACAAAAGATTAATACATCTGGAAATCCATTCATGTAGCAGGTCTGGATGAAATTTGTAAGGGCCTTTGAAAGAAATTGGTTAACAAAATGATGGCCAGATGATGGCCAGATCAAATGCTCTAATGAACGATGTCGAGCAAATGTTCAAAATTCTAAAATTGTATGGCCAGCTTTACTCTGTTAAGATTATTCCTGCTAGACAGAAAAGGCTACAAGTTCTTACCAACAAATTTCTGAGGCATACAGCTCTTACGTTTGGCAACGTTACTTGCAATTCTGTCCAGAACAAGAGATCTCTCAGAGCCAAGCTTGGAAAGATCTTCAGCCATTTCAGCCTGGTTTGTCTCTTCTTTTACTACTACAATCAAAAGATGTACAATAATTGAGATTATAACTCACGCCTACAAAAAAACTATTGACTTGCGTACAACATTCTACTAAATATAAAAATGAATAGTGCAAAACAAATTTTTCTTCCTAAAATTTACAAAACTTATTAAAACACTCCAAAACTCTCGACTGAAAAATGTAAGAGCTCACAAAGTTTATTCCACCACTAGTAACCTAATAGCACTTGTTTTACAAAAAAGAGTATGCCCTCCTAAGCAAACATTTCAGTGCAGACAGTTTACTCTTCCTGGACTATGACACTACCAAGGTCCTGAATTGACATTACAAAATTCAAATGCTTTTAAATTCATTTTAATGAACAATCAGCTTGTGCCAAACTTTTTTGTCACTTTATACCAATCCAATTTAAATACGCCTTTAAAGTGGATTTAAACTACACTGCGGGTGTGAAATGTAGGCTGTGATTAACAGCTTGGCTTTACCTCCTCTATGCTGTGTGAGGCGCAATATTAGGCACCATGTGGGGGAAAAACTAGGTATTTGGGGACACACTGGAGCAGAGTTTTAGTTCACTGATTATGCATGTGATATTTTTAACCTCTGGCAGTGGTTTCTGTAAACATTGGCAAGATGAAGAGCTGCTGGTTACTAACTATGATCAGTAATGTGCGTCTTTCTTCTTAGACCCTTGTTCCATTTTGATATATGACTGCTAGTAATGAGGCACCAAGATCAATAAGTATTCATATGAACCAAAATACAACATAAGGATACTACAGCTGACTCAAAAACTCACTGTATTCACACAGTTCCAATCAATGCCATCTAAGGCTAGTATTTATAGGCTCCATCCAATAGGCAATGCATAGTTGGGCTATTTAAGCCTACCACAAGGATGAAATAACCTGACCAATTCAAACACAGCATATGCTGAACAAAATACATAAGCAGAGCTTTTTTCCTGTATGTCAAGGATAACAAAGTGATATAGATGTGGCGATATACAGTATGTGCTGATATGGTGATATAGGCACCTGAAATCATATGTCAATCTTGACGTTTCCTCTAAAATCTTAGAATCTTAGCCTTCTCCTTCCCACTTTTTCTAAGCTTACTTATTGTTCAGTGAAATCACCCAGCATATTGAAAGTCCTAGGAACACTCTGTAGACGGGAGTGGTTGGTGCCTAGCTTGCTTATTTTAAACTGTGTAAACTGGTATAAGATTAGAGTTGAGGCTATGCACTTTTCTGCATGTAGATGAGGAACATAGAATGTTATGTATTGTACATCCTGGTCACTTTAACTGAAATTGCCCTGTAACGGCGGTACATACTTAATATATAATTTAGAAAATAGAATAAAGTTTTTTTGTAGGCAAAACATTTGTTTTGGTAGAGAGGAGCAAGATATCAGAGGAAATCTCCCCATCATGGGCACACACAGCAATAAAAACCTGACCTAGGTAAACCTTCCCCAATTTGCTAAAAAAAAATAAAAATAAGGTTTGGCTGGAGTGTAAGCAAATTAACTTACCTGTGTAGAGGCTATTTTGTAGTCCCATGCTTTGCAGGTAATTGTGGCATCTCTCCTTATGTTCTTCCAAAGAGCTGCGTTGTTTGTAACTGCGACCACAATATCCACACTTATGTGGTTTACCTACTACAAAAAACACATTATTTTTATTTTAAAAATAAAAACCATAGGCGACACGCAATGCAAACCTAAAATTAATTCATTATTAAGCAGGTATAATGCTTTCCATCTTACACAGTAAGATAACTGTATCTCTTCCCAATACTGTGCTGCTTTAGAGACCTTATTTATGTATTACTGCAACTGGGTGTGATTATAAGATTAATGGACTCTGCTGACAACAGAAATGTCTTGTTCCATCACATGTTGATTGATTACCTTTGCTTGGATAAGTATCTAAAACTGCCAGACATTTTTACACATGCTTATGATCAAGCTCTATTTTTTAATGTACTGTGTTTAAATAGACTTTGTCACTGTGGGGGGGGGAGGGGGGATGCAAATCACTGCAGCCCAGCCTCTTAAACACTCTCCCCTTTAAACTTCTTGTACATTCCCACTGCCCAGTTAGGTTGCCCATCATAGTGATGGGCCTATAGGCAGGGCCGGATTTCCTACAAGGCCAACCAAGGCCCGGCAGCAGGGGCTGCAGGGAGTAGAGGGGCAGCAGGGGTGTGGAATTCCTATCTCCCGATGCCCGAGACATGCAGTTCCGGCGCTGGGAGGGTAGTTGTTTTCTACATTTAGCCCTGCTTTAGGCAAGCAGAGCTAAATGTACAGCGGGGAAGCCGCCACTTGTTTTGTACAAGTGATTGCGAGGATGTCGCCGAGATCATTTGTCTGCAGCCTGCTGAGGCAGCAGAGAGAGTAAATCCGGCCCTGCCTATAGGCATTTGAAGGAAGGGATTAGTGGCAGGCTCTGACCCTAACCGGAAGTGTAGAACTTTTGCCTGCTAGTACAGCTAGCCATTAGGGTGTGACTGAGGTGTTTGAAAGGCTCCTTCAGGCATGTGCCTGACTAGTGCCCCAAATGAACATTATTTTATTCCTGTTTTACATTTTGTTGTCCAGTAGTCTCCATATATACTTTCAGCATCTATGTCTTAAATAAGGGAGAGTGTTGAGCCCACAAAATGTGTTGGCTTTTTCTTGTGATCTATTATTGTGCAAAATACAAATTGACTGCACTTACACTGTATCTCTGGCCCTCTCCCTCTCCTCACACACTTTAGACTACTTTAAGGATCCCCATGGATACCCCAGGTGATAGAGAGCTGTCTCTGAAATCCAGATCTAAAAATCTTATCCCTCCTGCTTTGGGGTCCAGTAGTTTACTAATACACCGTTTGTCCATCGCTTTAAGACAATGAAACTTCTCATTTTGTAATGTCTGTGTAAACAACTCATTACTTATCAACAGCAACTCATCAACTTTTTCATTATCCATACTGCTAAAAACAAGTTTGTCTTTTTACTCACTGTAAAATCCATTTCTTGAAGTTTATTAGGGGACACAGGATTAGGAATAACTGGGTTATACTGCTGCCTAAAGGAGGAATGGGACACTGGCAACAAAAAAAGTCTCTGGCCAGCAAAGTATAGCCATTCCCACATCCATGATGCTTCAATTGTTAGAAAGGCAGTAATTGGAGTAGATGATAAACAGGGACATATGTCGCTCTTAATGAACTTCAGGAAAAGTGTTTTACATCGAGTACAAAAGTCCTATTTTCTTAATTGACCAAAGAACAACTGTGTAAAAATTGTTGGCAGCCTTAAGCTCAAAGAGCTGTCTGAAGGACCTTATGCCCAAAGCCTGCATCAGCTGACCTGAACATCCATCTGGTAAAATGTAAAAAAAAGTATCAACAGAAGACCAGGTGGTGTCTTCGAAAATATGAGAAACAGATGCCTGATGCCAAAATGCCCAGGACGCACTTACAGATCTAGTAGAGTGTGCCTTGAGAGGAAAGAATGAACCTAATCCTTAAACCAATAGGCCTGTATAGTGATCTGCCAAAGCCACCGAGAAATGGTGGAATGAGAACAAGGTTTTTCCTTAGGGTAATTTTCTGAAATGAAAAGAGGAGAGTTAGTCTGCCTAAAGGAAGATGTAGCTGAGAGATAAATATGGAATGCTCTCATAACATCTAAAGAATGGAGAGATCCTTAGGATGCACAGGATCAGAGAAACAGAAGGAAGCACAATGTCCTGGTTAAGGTGAAAGGAAGAAACAACTTTGATAAAGGAGGCTCAAGGCCTCCAGATAACCTTGTTTTTGTGTAGAATAAGAAAAGGTTATTTACAAGATAAGGCCGCTAACTCGTCTTGCAGAGGTGTTGACAATGTGGGAAACTACCGTGTAAAAGTAGACAGGAATATTACTTTAGAGGGCATTCCTTAAAGAGATGAAAGATTCAGTGGAGTCACTGGAGGCTGTGCAGGTGGAACTATATAAGCAACACCTTGTACAAAGGCCTTTACTAGGGAATGACAAGCAAGAGGTCTTTGGAGCAAGATTGCAAGAGCCGAGATTTGCCCCTTGATGGTACTAAGGCTAAACATTATTCTAGACTGGGTTGTAGAAAGTTCAGAACCCAGTCCATAGACTATTGCCTAGGTTTTAGGAGTATATGAATTACCATTTTAGAATGGCTCCTATCTCTTAAGACTTGGGCTTTAACAGCCATAGCCTCAAAGCCAGGGAAAAAAGGATTTTCCCAACTTCAGAGCTAGATTTTTGTGCCACTATGCCAGAGATAGTCTGGTCTTTGGTGTCAGGCAAATTGGATGGCAAACACCATTCACACAGAATTATTGTCACTAGATGGAGCCAAGGAACATAGGAATTCTTAGAAAAAATGTCTATCCTCTTAGAACACTAGCAAAAAAGCATCCTGAAAGAGGGAGGTGTTATACTTGGCTGGCCAAGGCTTTTGTTTTTTTTTGCTGGCAGTATCGCATTCCTCCTGTGGGCATCAGTATAACCCAATTGTCTCAGACTATTCCTGAACCTTCATCTCCTAATAGGCAATTACATTATTTTTCTGTACCTTAATGAAAACAAAATAGAAATGCAAAACAATAAAATAGGCCAAAATCACGAAAGCATCATGCATGTTATGTTTTATTAATGTGCATTATTTGAGTTTTTAGAGATCAAAAATAGATTTTTCAATTAATTGATGGAATTACTGCATGGATCATCTGAATTCATCCATATTCCTTTATGATTTTTTTAAAAGTATTTTGAGTAAAAGTCAGTTCACACAAATTTTTGCATTGGTTATAGTATTTTAAAAGTTCCACTAGCTATATGAGGAGGCTATTGAGGGAAGCGGAAGAAGGATTACAGGTGGTGATTATATAATGTTTTGTGGGATAACATAGCCGAGAAAATAAGGTTTTTAATGGTTAATTGCCAAATCATGTAAAAAATGATTTAATATGAAAGCTATGTTTTAAACACTTTAAAAAAATGTTCATACAATAAAGGAATGTACTGCAACTAAAATACTAAATTCACCTTAGTGATTTAAAAGGTTATTAAACCCTCAGGTTTTTTTGCATATATCTACTGCTAGCAAGCAGTAGATATGTGCAAAAGCTTTAAAAAAAACCAAACCCTTTCAAAAAGGTTAAAATTTACCTGCCATCTTCACCACGCGCTCCCGTCCGAAAATCTGAAAAATCCCAGGCGTCTGCCCAAGGATCTTGGGGAGGGCGCATGCACAGTTCAGATTTTCGCCCGGGAGACAAGGAGAGACACAAGGTAAGTATATGGATGGCGTGCAACGGCATGCAGGCACCGTGGGACAGGAAATGCCAGCAAGGACAGAGGAATCAACGCTGGATCGGAGACCCGCAGCAGCGCTGGAGGGACAGATGAAAACGATAGAAAAGAAGAAAAGGTCGGATGAAGAGACATCATTTAAGGTAAGTGTTGACATTAACTTTTGGGGGTGGGAAAAAAATGTATGCTTTAATGTCACTTTAAGTCTAACATATGCATAGAAGTTAGAAAAAAAATATACCCAGTTATATTTTTATTTCAGTAATTAAAAAATAAAAACACAAAAAAGTCTGGCTTAAAATGATAGATGTTGCTAAGAAAAATGCTGTGCATTTCTTTACAGGTTAAAACATGTGGACAACAAAATATACACAGTTGCAAAAACAGCAAAGACACATTGAAATATGAGTTAAAGTCTTGTTTGTGCAAACTAGACTAAGAAACTGGGATAAGGTGCAAAATAGCTAGAGAGACATTACCAACCAGGGCCCAAACTTGTTAGAGCTTCCAAGGATTACTATAGGTTCATGTTCAATACAGCGGGATGGCTTAAATGCAGCCATATCAATGCTTAAAAAAATACAGTGGCACATTTTAATGCATGGCAGTGTGCTTAACAAATCTGCCCTTCTCCCTGATTTTAATTAATGGGAATAAAAAAGGGTAAGGAGGAGAAGAGTCCAGACACATGTCCTCTCAACGCCATATAGAGCTCTCCTCTTACCACAGAGTACAGTTGACCCCCGCATAGTCGCGGTTCAGAGTTCGCGGCCTCAGCTGTTCGTGGATTTTTCCTTAGAACCTAACTAATAATTTTTAGTTAGTAAATTACTACTGTATTTACCCTACTTATACCAAAGAAAACGACAGCGCATACCAAAGAAAACACGCTTGCATGAATTACAGTACATATAGGTATTTTACATTATAGCACTGCGGGAGACATAGCAGTGCAGTACTGTACGGTATACGGGTTTGCCTTTACATTCTTTTTTTTTTTAAGGGTAATGTATTAAGCTGAGTTTGAAATGAAATTAAAGTGTGTTGGGGGCATATGTAGGGTTTAAACTAAAAATAGGCATGTATAGGATTTTTTTGACCACATTCAAAATTTGCGGATTTTCCATATTCGCGGGTGCTCTAGGTACGTAACCCCCGCAAATTTCGGGGGTCGACTGTATTCTCTGCAGCATTATGTAGCCAACAGTCTGAGCAACACCATAGGCTCCACGCCGAAGCCTGCATTTTATAATTGAGCTGCGTAATGCAGGCTGTAGCAAACACTGTGGTGTCCCGCGAAGAGCCAATAGCTGTATCTGCATATAAATAGCTTCCTAGAGAGTCAAATACCTAGAAGTAGAATGATTAATCCAGAGTCCATTCTGCTAAAAATAAACTGTATCAGCTCAAACAGCCAGCTATGGCAGCTTTGGTGATTAGTGCACAACGGCAGTGATCACTATTGGAACTCCAGTCTTACAGCCATGTGTGTTAAAAAACAATCCCCTGCACAAATAAACTAATCACCTGAATGTGTCCTGAGATGGCCAGTGAGTGCATCTCTGCGCCTACATGCGTAGTTACACAAGTGACACTTAAAGGGCTTTTCACCAGAGTGTAATTTGATATGCCGCAGAAGATTGCCTTTCTGGGTAAAGGAGGCGCCACATTGGTTGCATTGGAAAGGACGTTCCCCTGAAAAAGAAAAAAACACACAAGAAAATTAAAATATTAGAAAATTTGAAATAAAAATATATAAAATTATCAGTCTCTTACCCATCTATCCCTTTATGTGCGTACTTATGTGAGAACAAAAATGTAACATAGTGACACGCAGAAGACTTCAGCAAGAAAGTTGTTTTCTCACTAGCACTGTATGACTTCCGTCGTCTGCAGGTTTGATAGAACATGAGGCTTTTAGACTAGACCTGCCAGTTCCTTAACGCTTCACTGGCTGGGTCAATTTGATCTGAAAATCTAATTTTTTTTTCTAAATCAGAATGGCACATCACAATGCAAATTCAACCTCATTTAAATAAAGTGACTGCAACATTTTTTTGTGTTGAAGAGCCACTCTTCCTGATCAGCAGTTTTGGAATAAACCAATATCCAATTTTGTATGTTGTGGCATTTGGTGTGTGTGTGTTTTTTTTTAATGTAGCTTTTTTTTCAAAGGGTCTTTAAAATATGCTACTGAGGCAGCAAAAATAAAAAGGGAACTCATTAAAAATGCATTTCAGGATCACAAGTTCATTTCAGCGTTACATTCTTATATTTAAATGAAAGGCACTTCATTATAGCAGTTATAATAACTTCTTTTCATTTACATTTTCCCATGTATTTTCCCTTTCAATTTCTTCTCCATTACCTGTCTGTCCCTAAGCGGCCAAATCAGGGAGGAGAATGAGGGGGTGAAATAAAAATGAGCAGGCAACAGTATGCTGAGGGACATTATCCATTATCCTTGCAGGATATTATCATGGGGTTTTGAATTAATAGTCTCAAGAGCTCACAAAACTCATAGCCTGTGACTGTATGTTTAGAAAAAGTGAAAAGAAGTCCTAAGGTGTATCTACTGAGGGCTAACTCTACTACAATGCTCATGCTGGAAGCCTTATAATTGTAGACCACATCAAATACAGATAAGAAAGCATAGCTAAGATAAAGGTGCAACTGCACATGTAACCTTTCTGTCAACTGACATTTCTATATAGTATGAATACTCCAAAATAATTCAGTGACTAGGCAATCCTTACTGCCATCTTTAATCAAGAATTACAAAGAGCAGTTAATGAAGTAGCACATTGCACTCAATCAGGTTCCTGTTGCCTTTATGTTGTTTCTGGGAAAATTCTTTCATAATAATGACTATAGGTTTGAAATAGATAATCCGCGCTTCTGGAGAAGAGACTAAAGTAGAAATATGTATTTGTTAATTAAGACCTAAAGCAGCTCTAAAAGAGGATGGAAGAATCCTTTCAGCAATCAAGAAATATATATCAAAGCGCTAAAGGTATAAATAGTATGAAAGTTAGTGCAACCAGGTAATAAAGTGAAATTAGGGTTTAAGCGATCTGGCCTAAAACCAAGTGATGTATCTTACATAGGATCATAAAACAAAGGAAAAAAATATTAATAATTCAATTGTACTTTGAAAAACAGGATAATGATTAGGACAATAAAAGAATTCAACCACTGTGTAAAAACCATCCAATATATAACAATATATGAACGATCCACACAAAAAAATTATTATAAAAACGTCGAAATAAAGTGTTCAGTGAGAAAAAGACGTAGAAAACGTGTGCAAAGGAAAAATAATTGTTGATGGAATATATTTCTTAGCGGTGGTCCGACAGCCCCTCTTGGGTGGGTACTCACCAAATGGAGTTTAATCGAAGGCTTTTGGTTAGTGACCTTTGAGCTTGCAATCGCACTTTCAAACTTGGACCCAGTTGTTTCCACTCTAAGTCCCTGCAAGGTGAGTGGTTGGTTTTCTCCCTTGTAACGCTGGCTGTATCCCAGAAGTGAAGCTGGATCCTCTCAGATATAGTGTCAGCGAAACTCCCAGTCCTGGCACAAAGAGCGAAAACGTTCTTTCGTCGAGCAGAAATTCTCTGACACAGCGGGCAAAATTTTTCGCTCTTTGTGCCAGGACTGGGAGTTTCATCGATGTACGGCTGAAATCAGCCGTACCAGCCTGAAGTGAATAGCCGAACAGTGTTCGGCTCACTTCACTTCAGATCAGTCATTCACTCGGCTGCCCTTGGCAGCTTAGTGAATAGACCCCATAGTTCTTCTATGTGATGACCAAGCAGCAGACAATAGTGAGTCAGTACTAGAGGTGCATATACACGATCAATATAAAGGATTTATTTTCAAATACTGGACTAGGTGAACTTTTCCATAAACTTCATGAAGTCAGAGATGTCAAACTGCCGACATTCTCATGATAGATTATTGTTACCCCATCTGGTAGTTATAACTGGATCCAAAAATTATAGTATATCTATGAAGACATCATGAGCTGACCAAAATAAAGAAAAATATCAAGTATCTGGAACAGATTTTCACAGATAATCTCAACTTGCATTTGGAGAAAAAGCTTGGTGCCATGGATGTTTGAAGGATGCACAAACATACATATTTGGCCAGTGTGGTCATTCAGCAGAATGGCTGTTAAACAGTACTGTATAATCTTCTCTTTAGGTGTCTTAATTCAGAACTTACCTATGCCCTTCCAGGAACCTTATCCTCTTCTCTGTGGCCCCTCCCAGCACTCTTCTCCCTGCACTACGTCTCTAGCTCCCTTCCTATACCCCTCTCTACTTCTCTGCACCAGCTCTCCCCTGTGCTTTCCCTTACACCTAAGTTATCAGCTGGTTGAAACACCATGCTCATGTCACTGCATTATGTACCCCTAATCTTTGCACCCTGCTCCAACTCTCTGCACCCTCTTCTGCCTCCAATTTTAGCCCCTGAGCTCTTGCCTGCATTCTACTCCTGCTATTTTAATGTGGCATCCCACTTTAGATCTCTGCATATTATTTTGCATGCCCACCGTCTATCCCTATCTAAATAACAGCTGGTAATGCATAATATAATACAGTTGGTTCCACACTATATTTTACATATCAGGGCATTTTTCAAACTGGAAACAGAAACTGGTCATGTGTGTGCAGCTGATATAAACTCACTTTGGAAGCCTGGGACCCCAGGTGGCCATATTAATTGCCTTAATGAAGATCCACAGTTAACTGGAGACACTGTGGCTGATTTACTAAAGTAGGGGAGGATCTTTACACAATATATTGTATGAATAATTACTTGAGTTATGCAATCATGTGAAAATTCATGTTCACTTACAGTATTTCATCTGTACATGATTGGGTAACTAAAAATGAAACTATAACAAAACAATACGTTTTATCTTTATCTCTGTGATATTTTTATTTCAGTACTGAATATAAAAATATTTTAAAGTTATTTTTAATTTGGTTCAGTCCTGTTCCATGCATATTGCTTGGCACTTAGAGCAGACTTTTGCATTCATTAAGCGTATGTATAACTGGAGAAACACTTTTAAGTCCCTTGGTCATTCCCTCGAAAATACAGTATGTTACACTGGCATCAACCAATCGTCTGCTTGCCTAACTGCTGATTTCCTAGTTCACATATGGGATAGTACATTTCCTCTGTGAATGGCTATAATAATACAAAATCTACAGCAGAACAACCTTTCCAGTAACTCATTTATGGACGTTTAAAGGGTAAGTACTAACAAAGAGCAAAATAAACTGCTCAAACTGAGAGTTGTACCGAATGTCCCTGAGGAAGTCTAACAACGAAACATGTAGGAGGGTTGATACACACTGATGTCAGACGTATTCTAGGAAGTGCTGTGTCTTGTGGACAAGTAAACAGTAAGTAAACAATAAACAGTAAGCGAGGATTTTGTTGATATATTACATCATAGTGCCCACCTGAACAAAGTTATCAAATACCAGAACATAAAAGTCGACAAGTGGTGCATATGTGTCACCACAGTAAAATGTAACAGCAGTAAAGTGTCAAGTCACAAATTCCATGGTTATCTGGACTCCAAGTGGTATTCTAACAAACTTATTACAGAACTTTCCCACCTATTTATCATAGGTGGGAAAGTTTTTCATCTCCTTGGATCAACTCAATGCTACTTTTAATATCACTAATGCAATTCTTCAGATATCTCACCTTACATCATGCCTATACATATCGACCGAAAATGGCACTTTTGGCATAATGCCCAGTGGCGTAGTGGTTAGCGCTTCTGCCTTGCAGCACTGGGGGTCCCCGGTTAAAATCTGCAAGGAGTTTGCATGTTCTCCCTGTGCTTGTTTGGGTTTCCTCCCACACTTTAAAGACATGCTGGTAGGTTAATTGGCTGTGTATCTATGTAGAGATGGGGACCTTACATTGTATGTTCGATACAGGGCATTTTTACAAGTACTTGTACTCGTGAAATGCTCCGATATTAAAAGCCCTTTAAAATTGTATTTTGCATCAACTGCCTAAGGTCCCGCGCTTGTGGGAATCTGAGGCAGCTTGCCGGGGATCTGGCACTTACTGTATTTGATGCTTCCTGCTGGGTTCCACATCTCCTCCTCCTTCCTGGCACAGGTACAGCTCGAGGCAGCCCCACATTACACGTACTGCCTCGGAGACGGCACAAGACAGGAACCCCCTCCTTCAGCTCATCACCCGCCCGATTAGCTCACCACCCACCCATTCAGCCCCACACCTGCCCACAGAGCCCTGATGAGACCCAGAGGCAGCCATGGTGACATCTGCACGCAGCCTAGTGACATCCGGACGCAGCTCTGGTGAGATCTGTACGGAGCCTGGTGACATCTGTACACAGCCTGGTGACATCTGTGCGTAGCTCTGGTGAGATCTGTATGCAGCCTAGTGACATCTAAACGCAGCTCTGGTGAGATCTGTACACAGCCTGGTGAGATCTGCATGCAGTCTGGTGACATCTGGACGCAGCTCTGGTGAGATCTGGACACAGCCCTGGGGAGATCTGTATCCAGCGCCTGGTGCGATCTGTACGCAGCCTGGTGAGACCAGTATGCAGCTCTGGAGAGATCTGGACGCAGCCCTGGGGAGATCTGGATTCAGCTCCTGTTAGATCTGTACGCAGCTCTGGTGAGAAA